TAGAGAAAAGTATGATAACGACAAAGTAATTAAAAAATTCTTTTTATACATTCTGGAAGTTGACTATAAAAAGGGGCTTTGTTGCAATGAGGAGAAAAAAGGAAGTTTGCTAATTTGTTGATGACATGGATATATAGAATGGTAAAATTGCAATCTAGCTCTAGACCCAAAAGAAAAATGGTATGCCTTCTGTCAAGAATGATGTCAGTGGCTCTCTTTATCAAGTATCCTTTGTCTACTATTGGTCAGAAATTAATTGATTAACTCAAATTAGCATCAGTTCTCTACAAATCTCCAATTTCCAATTAATTGAGGCTTTGTCTGATTCTTGCTTTTGCCTTTGCTTTTTGGTTAAAAATTAAAAAATGATCCAATTGAGACATAAATTCTACAAAACTGTTTTTTATAAAAAGTAAAATCATGCATTTTGTTCTTAAATATAGCTACTTTTCTAATTTTTAATTCTTCATTTTTATTTGCTTTTATATCCAAACATGTTTTACTTAATCTAAAAGGAGAAATATATATATGTATGTATGTATGTATGTATGTATGTATGTATGTATGTATGTATGGTAAAAGCAACAACCAAGTGATACCTAAGTCAAGAACTGGTTGATTCACGAGAATCTTTGTCAATCAGGACTAGGTTTTGATTGATTACAGCTAGTGAGAAGCCTATAATCAGGTTGGATTGGATGTTGATTAATGGTTCAATAAGACTTAAGGGTGTGGTATGGGTAAGCATTGCTCTATCATGTTAAGAGAATGTCTTGCTATGCAGTGACTCATCACAGATTGGGAAATGTTCCGATGGCATTGAGTTTTTTGTTGAAGGTTGGGTTAACATGATGGTTCAGATACCATTAATTGTTGCAAAACTCGTAAAGTTGTGAAGTACTTTGCTATCCTCTCACATTCTTTGACCATTGACTTGTGTACATTCTCTTATTCCAGAATAGTTCATTTCTTGCACTGTTGCCAATTGTTCGACAACATATTATCGATGGTTTCACACCCAAGGCCTGTGACTTGTTTCAAAGAGAATTTGATTTCTTTGACCAAGTTACATCCATTTCTGGTGTCCTATTTCCCCTTCCAAAGGAGGAACGCCGGGCTGGCATCCAGAAGTATATCTCTATCTCTTAATGGTTATGTTTGTGTCATGTCTTATTTCTATCTTGCCGTTAAAATTGGTGATGACATGCTTGCAATTATTACAGAGAGTTAGAGAAAATTGAAATGGAGGGAGAGGACCTTTATTTGCCAACAGCTCCTAATAAGCTTGTTAGGGGTATTCAAGTTGATAGTGGAATACCCTTACAATCGGCAGCAAAAGTTCCTATTATGATCACATTTAATGTGGTTGATCGGGATGGTGACCAGAATGACATAAAACCCCAGGCTTGCATTTTCAAGGTAAACTTGTGTTTGAGTTGGACAAAAAAGACTGGTTTGAATTGCAAACACAAAATTCTATCTTGTACCGATACTTTGGAAAAACCAGAAAACCCCTGAAGTTGTTTTTGTTCACCCTTAATTGTGGGATTGCTCTCATAGACTCATACTATTTCTGGGGCCTTCTTCCCCCCTTTGTTTCTCCCACACAAGAAAAAGGACACCGTGAGTATCCTCCAGCTCTTGAAGGCGGTTTCTTTGGTTTCAGGATGTTATGCGAGTTTTAGATTTTGATATAGAAATTGATTTTTTTTTATTCTGCTGGAAGACACAAAGCACAGCTCTCTTTTTCTAATTAAGATTACGTTTGAATTTATGTACTTTTTCTAGTTATTGGATTTTCAGTTCCTAATATATGTCCCAGATTTGAAAATTGTACTTGTTTAACCTTTTTGTTTTGCTGGTCAAATTGTATGGTCCTGATTTCTTACATAAAGCCGTGTTGCCATTTTTATGAAATTGAATTTTTATTCAAGGTTGGAGATGATTGTCGACAAGATGTTCTTGCTCTTCAAGTGATAGCCCTTCTAAGAGACATATTTACAGCAGTTGGACTTAATCTCTATTTATTTCCCTATGGTGTTCTCCCAACCGGTCCGGAGAGAGGTATAATTGAGGTGAGTATATCTTGTATTCTGCTAAGATTTTATGTGTATTACACTTCTAATTCTGTTTTTTTTTTCATTAAGTACATTAAGATTGCAACACTAGCCAAGGAATTCATTTCTCTTGTGATAATTTTGGAAATACCTAATCTATAACTTTAACAGCTAAACAGAATGAGGAAAAAGAACTTAGAGGGAATATAATGCTCCCACCACTCAGGAGTTTTAGGGTGTGTGGTCTTACTGTTGTCATTCTTGCATTTGTCTGTCTTAAGACTTTTACAAAGGCAACAGGCAGTGACTTTTTAAAAAGGCTGTGTAAAGTGAATTTAGGGATTACCACTGCTATTTTTGTCTTGCTCTCCCAATAATGTCTGCTATATGGACAAATATGACAATGTGGTTTGGTTTACTGGTGGAGTCATTTGTGCATGTGTCATCTTGCTGAAAAGAACTGAACAACTGTTCCTAGAGTACTGTAATGAAGTTTTTGCTTAAAGTTCTCTTTTTCTCCTTTGGTGCAGGTTGTGCCTAATACACGAAGTAGAAGCCAGATGGGTGAAACAAATGATGGTGGTTTGTATGAGATTTTTCAACAGGATTATGGGCCTGTTGGCTCTCCTAGCTTTGAAGCTGCACGCAGAAACTTTATAATTAGCAGTGCAGGGTATGCTGTAGCAAGCCTTCTACTTCAACCAAAGGATCGACACAATGGCAACCTTCTTTTTGACAAGTATGGTTCTGCTAGTTCCTTGACTTTAGAAATTGTAAGCTGTGGTTGCTAGAATAGCTAAATTTAAATAATTCATATATGAAAACATGATAACCAGATGGTTTGTGGAACCTCTTTAGGTCCTCAAATCTGTGTCAAATCATTATACTTCTGTTGGAAAAACTATGAACAATTATTGCACTAGTGACGGGAACACATAATCATATATAAATGCATTATAAACAAAAATATAAACCAAACCTGGTGTTGTCAGATTATTTGCTTTTGAAGAACCTAAATTTGCGGATTCCAAGAAAGCACTTAGGAGTGGTTCTAAAAAAAAAACTATGAATATCTATTGCACTAATGAGTGGAGCACATATTCATATACGAATGAATTATAAACAAAAATATGAATAAAACCTGTCATTCTCAGTTGATATGCTGTTAGAAAACTTGAAATAATGGAATCCAAGAAGGAAACACTAAGGATTAGTGAATGGGTCTTTCTCTCTCTGAAGCTTTTTATTGGTCTTCAACAATAAAAACCTTTTTCTATACTAGAGTGTTCAGATCTAAGAGGGTGCTGGACCCATTTACGATTATAACAAATTTATGCAGGTAAATAGATTAAGGTACCCAAAATAAGTGACAGGTTCTGTAACCAAATAATAGACCATCACATTTCACTATTTGCAATACCAAAGATGAATTTTGGCCTAAACCCCTCTCCAGTTGGAAAAAGGAAAGAAGGAAAAACTCAATGTATCTGTGATATGCATGTCAATACAGTGCAGGGAGGCTTGTTCATATTGATTTTGGTTTCATCTTGGAAACATCACCTGGTGGAAATATGCGGTTTGAGAGTGCGCATTTCAAGTTGAGCCATGAGATGACTCAATTATTAGACCCATCAGGGGTTATGAAAAGTGAAACTTGGGACCACTTTGTTAGGTAATTACTTTGCTTGATTTTATCCTTCTATCTTTTTTCTGCATACCCGTTTTTCCTTATTCAAGTCATTTGAGTTGTTCTTTGTCAAATGTTCACAGCTTGTGTGTGAAGGGATACCTTGCTGCCCGCCGCCATATGAATGGGATCATCAACACTGTATTGCTTATGCTTGACAGTGGATTGCCCTGCTTCAGCAGGGGCGATCCCATTGGAAATCTTCGCAAGAGATTTCATCCCGAGATGAGTGAGCGTGAGGCTGCCATTTTCATGAAAAGTGTCTGCACAGATGCCTACAACAAGTGGACGACTGCTGGCTATGACCTAATACAGTATCTGCAGCAAGGCATTGAGAAGTAAAGTCACGGGAATAGCATCTTTAAATGTACATGATTATTCTTTGTAATTTTATAGTAATTATTTTTCCCTTATGGTTACAATTTTCTTGAGAAAATTCCACCAAAGCAATGCTAGGAATTATAATAGAAGCGGCTCACACGACACACCCAAGTTGATATTTGAGGAGATTGTTGTCAAAACTCAAAATGGCAAGAGAGTTCTTTGTAACCTGGTGGTGGATATCCATGTTAGGTTTGTAAAAATACAGCCATGAAATTAATTGTCTGAATGAGCAACGAGGAACGTTTGCTGGTTTATACAGCAATTTTTTTACTGTATACAAGTATTAAATTCGTCATTTAGGGGCTGACTCACCAAGAAAATGTTCGATTATTGCAACTGAAGATCCACGGGGTACAGATGTTAATGACTGATTCGGTTTCTTGATTGTACTGAAGATATTGGTTGCCTTTCTATATGTTAGGCCCATTTTGTTTAACATGATAGGCCAGGGGAGTCGTCCGATGATAGAAGTAGCAATGCGTTGTTCTATCAGATCAGTCGGAAGAAAATAAGTGTCATTACTTTGACATGATCTTAAACTGAAAATGCTAAGCTCAAAAAGTAATGTTAGAAAGTTATTTTCAAAATTGAAATTATTGCAAACCTATTCGCAAAATTATAGGTACAATAGATTCGTATATTTATATTATATAAAATATTATATTTTATATATTTATATTATATTTTAGATAAAAATTATATATAATATTTTGTCACTTACAAATATAAAATATAATTTTTAATATCATTAAATTTATATATAATTATTATTAAATTTTTAATTAATATTATTTTTATATATTTTTTATATTACATTGATGTCATGTTACCTATCATATTTTATATCGACACGTCCATAAAAGCACAGCCAAAGGACAAATTAGAATATCATCCATATAGAAAACGTCCACTCGTTGCTAAATGCCATGCGTCAGACCAGATGTATCTGTAAAGTGTAACCCCTACTGTCTCTACATTTTTACCCCCACAATTATTGGAGCTTCCTATTTTATTTTGCAAATCATTAACAGAAATTGTAGTTTTTCCTTTTGCGTTGCATTAAAAATTTAAAAGCACAATTTTCGTCCTTTTTTCCACCAAAGGGTCACACCTCAAACTTCATTTTCCTTGAAAAAAAAAAAAAAAAAAACTACTCCTTCACTAACCACATATATATTTACTAAACTACCCTCGTCATATAACCTTGGCGGCCGTTAGTAGTGACATTTCCTAACTGAATCTGACCGTTACTTTTTCCGTCACCGTTAACATCCTTCGACTCCATCTTCATCTTCTTAGCCTCTTTCCTCCATCCCACCAATTTTCCAAAAAGACCTTCCATTTCCTCCAGCGTTTTCCCTTGAGTCTCCGGCAAGCACGTATAGAAAAAGAAAAACGCCACTGTCGCAATCCCGGAGAATAGGAAAAACGCCCCGCCAATGGTAATCGCCTTGTACAACGAAATAAATGTCATCGATATTACCCCGCTCGTCACCCTGTTAACCGCCACTCCCATACTCGCTCCCTGCGCGCGTAGCCTCAACGGGAAGATCTCCGAGCTGTACACCCACGTGATGGGCCCCGCCCCTATCGAGAACAACCCCACGTATGCCAAAACCATCGCGATGCACAATCCGATGGCCCACATTTGTTTCTCCGTCGAATGATCTATAATCGTTAGTGACAGTCCGAGTGTAGCCGATGAGGCCACCATGCCTGCGAAGCTGCTGAGGAGCAACGGACGCCGTCCGATTCGATCTAGTAAAAACGTGGCCACCAAGATGAAGATCGTCTTGACGAATCCGACAGCTATGGTGGCGAGTAGCTTATCGTTTGATGACGTGATCCCGGCTTTTGCAAAAATCCTTGGACTGTACAAAACGACAGCGTCTATGCCGGACGCTTGCTGGAAGAAATGAATCCCAATGGCGCATATCAACACGTGCCTAACAGCAGGCTTGGGGTATAAAAGTAATTCTTTCCAAACGCCTTCACCGTGTGATTGTTTTTGGACCTGAACGACGTCGTCGTTGCAATCTTGGGGGATTCCAGCTGCTTCTTTGATGTCACCGAGTCTAAACTGAGCTTCTTCTTTAGTGTCTGAAGTTTTGTCGAGAACTGTCTTGGCTTCACCGAGTCGGCCTTGCATAACCAGCCAACGCGGCGACTCGGGCATCGCTAGAACACCAACAGCCAATAAAACCGATGGGATTGCACCGACGCCAAGCATCAGCCGCCACCCTACGTTGGTTGGCAGCTTCGAAAATGCATAGTTCGAAACGTACCCCAACAATATACCACCATTAATAAAAATCTATACCCCCCCCCCCAAAAAAAAAAAAAACCATATTAGCTTTCGCTTCTATCAAACAATATATATCATAGTAAGTTAACTATAAGTAAATTTCAAAGGTTTTAGGACCTCGGGGAACGAGGTGAGGAAACCGCGAGAGGAAGCGGGGGAGACTTCAGCAGTGTAAACAGGAGCAATCACGAGGGCATAGCCGACGCCGATTCCAGCAACGAAACGACCCACCATAAGGAAAGCGTAGTTTGTAGCGAAGCCCATGAGGAGAGCTCCCACAAAGAAAATGGCAGCGGCGAACACGACGGTGTAACGGCGGCCGATCCAGTCGGAGGTTCGACCAGCAACGCATGAACCGACAAGACAGTACAAGTTAAGGATACCGACAAGGATTTCAACTTGAACGTCGTTGATTTTGAGCTCGTCTTTTATGAATATAATAGCTCCACTCATCACTCCAATATCTATTTCATGCAATCAACAAAGAAATTGCTTATCCAAAATAAAAAAAAAAAATCACCACAAAAAACTTATCCAAACTTTTTCAAATTTTCATGGGAAAAAGATGTAACTGTTCTCTACTTTACTTACCATAACCAAGTAAGATGGAAGCCAAGGAAGCAAGTATGGCACAAGCAAAAGCGAACTTGTTCCTTTTAGGTTTCTTTGCAGGCTCAAAATCTGCAAGAGTTTTGTTGTCTACTATGACTGGTCGAGTTGAAACGACACCATTCTCTATTCCCAACCCAGCCATCTTTGATAGCTAGAAAAGCAAAGAGAAAAGGAGGCTAGACTTGTTGTATAGTAGTGTAAGAGGTAGTAATAGTAGAGATTCAAGCAGACATTGAATCTCTCAAGTTTGCCATTGTTAAGATGCAGAGTTTGTTTAAATAGACAAAAAAAGTTACATCAAGGGGTCGACCGTAACGCTTTCCCCATTACGTTAGTTGTTTTTTTCTTCTTTCTTTTCCATAATTTCACCGTCCATATTTCCATTTTTTTTTTTTTGGTTATTAGCTTATTTTCTTCACGTTTAGCTACTACAAAACGTTAAGGACAAAATATGGACGATGAGGCAGCATCAATGCATAGTGACATTTGGGGTAAAAAAAGTCAGTCAAAAGAGGAAATTCAGAAATTTACTGTCGTATTATCATCAAGAATTTCAAAGTTTAATTGTGTAGTGTGCATAAAAAAGAAATAGAAATATGAGTAATAATGAGTGATATTAGTAGAAAGTTAATTATTTATGGTTAATAATTCAATTTTTCTGTAAGTAGTGTAGATCTATTCTTGAATCAGATCGGATCAACCCTGATTAATATTTAAAATTTTTGTTTAAAGCTCACCTTGACTTATTAAGTTTGAATAAGTCCAACACTACTTAAAAAATATAAATTAAAAATTTTAAAAATAATTTTATATTAATATTTATTAAACATCTAATTTAAAATTATTAGCAATAAGTAAAAGAATTTAATCTGAATATAATTATTTTAACAAAAGTCCACATCATGTGCGTGTAAAGATAAAAGAAGCATTGAAAAAATTAATTAAAAAATTTTTGATTTTGATATCACATTAAGTATTAAATTTAAAATCAATTAATAATAAATAAAAAGATTCAACTTGAATATAAATTTATAAAATATTAAAAATTTATTATACGTGAGATAATTTATTTTAATAATATTATATAATAAAATTTAAGTTTAAATAATAATATTTTTTATTTATTAAATAACGATTCGAGTCTGGTTGATTTCAATATTCACATCCAATGCTGGACTTGCGAGCTAAATATGTATCCAACTCATTAATAAGTGACATTCAATTATAAAACAATATATTTGTCTTATACATTGATCACAAAATGAGAAGTTGTACGTTTGCTATAGCATAATAAACAATATCGATTACTTAATGATCTGTTCATTTAAGATTATATTAACTTTCTAAACAAATTATTAGTCTCATAATTAATTTTAACATATGTTGCATTTTGATTCGTAATTAAGCATTGCTACCAACCTTAGCTAGCTAGCTTATGAAAACAGTACTGTCCATTTTTTTAATAATAAAAAAATTAATTATTTAAATTACAAACTTTAAGCTTTAGGAGGAAATTTCAACTCGTATATAATTAATTTTTCCTTTTTTTTTTTTTTCAAGTCAAGCGGTTCAACGAGGGAAGACAAACAGTAGGCATGGACAGATCAATGGAATTGTGAGTCTGTGAAGCCCTAAAGTTTTATAATTTCTTGAAGTCAACAAAGACAGCCGAATCAATCAAAATTTGGGAAGAATCCACTTCGCTTTTTATAATGATGGACAGAAAGACACCCTTCTTGCAAATTGCACTCCCTCGATTGCCTTCAATAATTATTTACTATTTTATTATTTATAATTTTCGTCATTCTCTTTAAAAATCCAAAAAAATTATAAATAAAATAGTTTATTTCGCAATTACACTTGCAAGTTTGCACGTATAAATTTCTTCTTTCTTCAACGTGAAGAAATATATATACATATATACGTATACATATACATATATATATAAAGGTTAGAAGTAGCAAACTTACAAAAGCTCAAATAATTTTATAAATAAATTATGTTTTATTATCTATGAATTTAAGATTTAATTTAATTTTAGGAATTAATATTAAATAAATATAAAATTTAAATATCAATGCTTATAATTTTTTATTTTTAAATTATGATTTTTATATAAAAATAATTTTAATCAAATTAAAAATATGTGACGTGACATATACATGAAGTTGAAGAATAATAGGCATTTTTTACATAATCTAAGTGAGAATATTCTTATGTATTTGAAGTGTTATTGAAAGAAAGAAGAAGAAAACAAGAAAAATGTACTTGCCATTGAAATTTTGAAGCCACGCATCAAAAATGGTGATGTTAGGAATTCAATTCGGATAAGATATCATACGGTGCATAAGAAAATTTTATTTTTAATTTGACTCTTGTATGTCATAAAAATTAACTACATTGAAAGTGTCAAGACAACTCCTACAAACTTCAATTTCTTATTAGCAAATGTTTTCTTCGTGAATAACTTCAAGAACGAGCTTGATATATCACAATTATGAAAACCTAGTTTTCTCCTATTGAAAAATAGAGTGCATAATTTTTTTTTTAAACCATATTTATATACCATGTTAGCTGATCAATTACTGTCTTAAAAGCTTATAGGATTCAACTATGGTATTTAAATTATAAGCAATTATGTCAACTTGCACCCCCTCCATGTTTCCTTGTCGGTGGCCATGTTGTCTCATCCAAATTGATCAAAGAGTTTCCTTTTTGGATAAATTACTAAAACAATTGTATATCATTATCATCATGTTGATTAAGGGGGAATAAGTTTTACAATTAATGCAATATCCTTCATGAATTTGATAAATAGTTCATTAAATAAATAAAAAAAAAAGACAAGTCTTAAAATAGTATTTTTTTTGTTTTGAAGATGCAGGTTGAAATTATTTGGATTGGAATTTAAATTTTACAAATATCACAATCTTTCTCAATAAAAATAGTATTGTAATCGGTGCTTATAAACACCCAACAATTGGATGCATTGACTAAAAATAAATCATACAAGTTGATAACATTGTACACAAAAAAGGTTTTTTTTTCCTTTTTTTTTAATAAATAAGTTTATTTCCACTTGTTAAAAGAAAAGGTTAAAGAGAAACGAAGATTAAGTGCAAGGATTCCCAAAAAAGAGTTAAAATAAAAGGAAACTGTGAAAAGGAAGGAGATGCATGGTTGTTCATTCAACATGCACCTCAAAGTAAAATATACTTTAATGATTGAAAATTACAGATTTTCAATTTGAAAATATATCCGAAATTTTTAATAAAAATAAAATCAAGTTTCTAATGTTGTATTACATGTAAATAAGATTATACTAAGTTTTTTCGTAATTATAATTATAAACTCTTAAAATTAATTAAAAAGATTCAATTGGAACAGCTTTTAAACTATTACTTTTTTCATCTTAAAATATTTCTAATGTATTAACTTTCATGAAGTTTAAGAAAAAAATTTTGATTTTAACATATTTTATATTAAAATTTAATTTTTTTATAAAATTAAAATTTCACAATTTTTAATGTCAAAAAATAAAAATAATCATAAAATATAATTTTAAAATATAAAAAAAGAGTTTTAGATATTAAAAATATTAAAACATAATTTTAAGACATTAAAAAAAAATGATAAAAAAAAGAGACAGAGAGAGTATATAATTTAAGTTGTTCTATAAAAATTCTAATTAAAATAAAAGAAAAATTAATATTTGACGTGTTTGCTAATACTGTTAGATAAAAAATGTTAGTTTTTCGTTGTTCAAATTGAATTTTTTTTATTTTAAAAGTTTATGACTATAATTACAAAAAGAATAACAATTATTATTTTGTTTATATGCAATAAAAGATCAAGAGTTAATTTTAATTTTTTTTATTAAAGTATAAGAATATATTTGAATATTAAGCCATAAAAATTTGATACAACTTAAAAAAAAAAAAAGCGATTTGTTTTCCGTAGATTGTAATTCAATTTCTCCAATGTTACAATCTGCACGTTCCATTAGGAAACTGAGAAAGGGACATCCCATATTTACTTTTATAAATGTTCTATCGACAATGGACACTAGGGCAGCTACTTTGTCCAAAATAGGCTCCACATTTCGGTTAGTTATATTTATAGAAGTAAGTTATCTTTCAAAATCCAGGGACAGTAAAGTCCAGGAATTGAAAATACGTTGCCTTAATCAGAATGAATTGGGCATCAATTTGATAATGACAAATGCGTTTTGAAGCAAGGCCAGCCGGTGGGGTCTTAGAAGTATTGCAGTAGTGAAATTTGCTTCCTCCTTAGTCCAATACACGTGCCTTTGAATTTTGCTTCACTGCCATTAATATCTCCGCAAAATCTCTTTGTAAAGCTCCAGAACTGCAGGCTCCAATCATTGTCATTTCACCCCACCATTTTTAAAGTTTCCTTGGTGCACTGTCGATTTTGCCCATCTCCCATTAACCCATTTTCAATGACGTGGACACACCTTAGCCACTTCAATTGCATGGACATTAATTTAGCGTCTCGTGTCGTTTTAATGCTAGAGTTTGGGATTTTTTTAAATTGACGGATGATTTTTTTTTTGAAAAACAATTCGAAACTCTGTTTTTTTTTTAATAATTCAAGTATAAGCGAAATATATTAGGTGGGAGTTTAGATTTTATCCTACTAAAAATATGATACAGTTAAGTTAATTATATTATTAATTGAATTTAAATATTAATTTTAATAAAATTTATTTAACATAAATTTTTATAAATTTTTTTAATCATAATTATGATAAATTTTTAATCATAATTATAATAATTATTTTTTTAATCTTATCAAAATTAATTTTATCATTTATTTAAATAAATTTTAAATTAAAAATTTATTCTACGCAGCCAAGAATGTTATATATATATTAATTAGTTAATTTATTATTAGATGAGTTTTTACATTTTAAAAGTTGCAATAGGACAATGGATCTAGAGGATAGTTGTTTGTTTCAAGTATGCAGTCAATGACCAAATAAAAAACTTAAAACACTTTGAAAACATCGTAATTTTCAATTCAAAGGCGTAAATTTTGCCAGAGAATTTAGCCCCTGGTCACTGAAGGATAAGAAATGTCCTTCGTCAAACTAGACAAAATTAATCAGTCTGTCAGTTCCGTAGCAATTATCTGGCCCATTTTAGGTCCGAACTTAGATTTTAAAATTTCGTAAGTGTTCTCCCTGCTGTGACCATAGCATTGCATTTGCATTCACACCCACTTATCGGTAAAGCATTG